GGAGAGGCAGCCATGGATTTAGGCAAGAGATGCCAGCTTTACCTCCCAGGCTCAGGGTATCTGCACTTAGAGTCCCATGGGCAGGGTGGCACATGCTTAGAGTCCTGGATGCCTTGAGTCTGAGAGAGGAGGACTGCAGGTTGAAGTCCACCCCAGGAAAATTATAGAATCACTGTATATAAATAAAATGAAACTGATTTGGGTGTAGCTCATGCTGGCCTAGCATGTAAAAAACTCTGTGTATATCACCAGAACTGACAAAGTAACAAAGGAAAAAAAAATCACACATTAAACCAAAAGTCATGGCATATCTATGTGCTTACATATACTCATACTAGAGATGCAGTGTAAACACAGATAGATCCACATAATTTAGCTCCTAAATATTATGTATGTGGTATATAATATTTCTTTCATTCATTTCTAAGCAAATTCGACTCTGACTGAGATGAAGCTTTGGTGGGTCTGTACTGACCCTCACAGCTCAGCAGGCTGACTATGTCCTGTAGTCCCAGAGAACTATGTTCACCCAAGCAAATCTGAGCTGCCCTGGTCTGAGCTGGGACACCCGGATATATTGAGCCTGTGTTGATTGACCAGGAGGAGCCCACCTGAAAGCTGTGCCCAGCTTGCCCAGCCCTGCTGATTTGCATGTGCCCACAGCACAGCCCACTGCCCTGAGGAATATTTAAGAGTCTGCTCACACCCTGTTGTCAGTTCCCATCAGGTCACATCATGGCCATGAGGGCCCCAGCTCAGCTCCTGGGGCTCCTGATGCTCTGCCTCCCAGGTAAGGAGGGATAGTACTGGGGACTTACTAATCACAGTGTGGTCAGTGTTGCCTGGTTACTCAGGAAAGTCCTCTTGTAACTTAACGAACATAAGAATATTTCTTTTTATGTTTCCAATGGCAGGTGTCAGATGTGACATTATGATGACCCAGTCTTCATCCTCCTTGCCTGTGTCTCCTGGAGACAGAGTCAACATAACCTGTAGGGTGAGTCAGGGCATTAGCAATTATTTGAACTTGTATCAGCAGAAACCAGGACAAGCTCCTAAAGCATCTCATTTATGGTGCATCCAATCTGCAACCTGGAGTCCCCTCGAGGTTCATTGGCAGTGGATCTGGGACAGATTTCACTCTCACCATCAACAGTCTGGAGCTCGAAGATGCCACCACTTATTACTGTCAACAAGGCTACAGCGACACAGGCCATGACAAAAACCTCCCATGGAGAAGAATTGTGATGCTGGGCTGCCCCAGCTGCTCTTCCTGATGCCTCCACCTGCTGAGGGCACTGCTCAGAGGCAGCCAGACCCTGAGCACTACAAGGAGGGTCAGAGGATCCAGAGGGATACTATGCACTCTGACCCTTCACTCAGCCCCAGCACGCAGTGATCTCACTGTATGATAAAGAAAATAATTTAATACCTGAAGATATTGATTTAGGCAGTATCAGGGGTTGTGCAGCAAAAATAGAACTCTCCATGTATTCCACATGGGAATATATTAAGACTTTGATTTTTAGTGTAGTTTAAGTATCCAGGAAAATTGGGGTGAAGTACATCCTGTGTCCACCCTGCTCCCACAGCTCCTCCATCACCATTCCCAGACTCTGTTGCTTCTGTTACAATTCGTCAACCTCTGCCCACATCTACAGGTCACACCAGAGTTACTTTGTTTATTCTATGGAACTAGACAAGTGGACAGTGACATGTGTCCAACAGTGTGGCCTGGCACAGTGCATGTCCTGCCCTCACATTGTCTGAGCTCCAGCTGCTTCTCACCCCCCACCTCTCTGTGCAAACCTTTATGATTTCCCATCCTGTAGTTTCACCTGGGCTGAGGGTCAGCTGCCTGGCACTCACAGCATGATGATGTTTAGCCTGGCCTGTCACCGTGAGTGCTGTGCAGAGTGAAGTACTGAGTTCTCCTGTGCCCCCCCTCCTCCCAGGGCTTTTCACTACAGCACAGATAGTTGTTTCCTTTTTTAAATTTTTTTCTTCAAATTTGGTATTGAATTCAGACACACACTACCATTTAAATACAATCATAGTCACATTTTTAATTTTTTTTTTTTAGTCAGTGTCCCTCTAAGTTGTTAGGTCCTTGCTAAGTTGCTGAATCTGGCTGTAAACTTGTGATCCTCCTGCCTCAGCCTCCCAGTTGGTGAGGGTTACAGGTCAGCACCACAACACCCAGCCTGATAGCTGTTTTTTTTTCATTGCTGAGTAATATTATACTTTCTGGCTCTTCAACATTACTGATCCATTTCTCCTAGAGATGGGCAGGCTTGTGTCCTTCAAATTTTCATTGCTGACCACAGGTCCTCTAAGTTTTCCATCTTTGTTCTGTCGCAGATGTAAGGGTTGCCAAACTGGAGTTCTGGATATTAGCTGTTAAGGATTTGAGCCAAATCATCTTCTTTTTGGTCTGTAGAAATCTTTATTTATTTTTAGATGTGTATTTTCACCATTTTTAGTTTCATAGCAGAATGCCTAGTGTCATAGAATCTGTCACACTGTCTTGCATGTCCTGTCTCCATCTTGGAGACAGCTTGTGGACACTCCCAACAACACTCAGCTTCTAAGAGTGGCTTGAGACTGCAGCCAGAACCAGCTCAGCATCAGGGATGGGGCCTTGGCTCCCCTCCTGCTGCCTGTGGGGTGCTCCCTCCTGGACTTTGCCATCCCTCAGGGGTGGTGTTTCCTCATGTGTTTTAATTTGCATTTCCCTGATGACCTGGGGTGTCACAATGGTGTGTAGACAGATGTCCACAATTTGCAGTGGTCATACCCAGCTGTCAAATGTTTGTCATTTGTCATTTGTGAGGTCTGCAGGGGCCAGCAGTCCTGCAAGTCAGCCTCCGGTCTTAGGTTGGTAGCATTGCAATTGGATCTTACCTGTCATTGATACCAGTCCAGCATACAGCCACACCTGTGGATAGGTCTTTGTAGCAGTGTGTGTGTGGGGGGGTGAGGTTCTTTGCCTCACCTCTATTGACCCCCAAATTTTAGCTGAATGACCATCACAAGCAGAAGGGAGGAAGATACACCAAGCCAATTGACGGCTCCTTTTGGAAAAATTGTACCACCGATGACAACATCAGCAAAAATACCCAAACACTACCACAAGTCACTGCACCAACAGATAGTTCACAATGCATACAAGTGAGTTCACGGTGCATACAAGTGTTACATAGTCCAGACAAGTTCTGAAAGCAGTTCAATGATAGCTATTGCAGAAGCTGTAGATTGGTTTTATCTTTGTCTTCACCAGCACTGGGATGAAGACAGGAATTCTGGCAATAATGGCTAAAGAAATAATTATGTAACATGCCACAAGGCACTAAAAGAAAACAATTTTCTGCACAATTTACATTATTTGAACAGAATTATTAAATATAATGAAAAGGAAAGGTGAAAGTAAACAAACAGATCTGTTATCCTCCTTTTTTTTTCACATATTAAAACAATCCTCAGCAGCTGTTTACCCAATTTAAATTAAACCATTTAAATCAAGTGAATAAAAAATTTGGATCCATTTTTATGAACACACATCATATTTGAAATATGGACATACGTACATACAAACATACAACTTAAAACACAAGTGTGCACACATAATGTAATACATACAGCACATAACATAATAGTAAAGTCGTTATAACTTTTTACAGGTGAAATCTCCATTGCAATGTTTAAAAAGTCTATAGTCAAAAAATAGAACTGATCAGCAAAACAGTAACCTAGGTCTGTATGAGCTCAAAAAACAAAATAGAACTTCATAATGTGGGAAAGGGTAATAATAAAATAGATATTGATAAAAGCATCTTTGTTCTGTCGCAGATGTAAGGGTTGCCAAACTGGAGTTCTGGATATTAGCTGTTATGGATTTGAGCCAAATCATCTTCTTTTTGGTCTGTAGAAATCGATTTAGTTAATCTCTCTGGAATCCAAATCAGCTGCTGTTCTCCCTGTGGAAACACATAAAACAGACCTCCGACTCCAGACAATTACTGGGTCAGGAGCTTTCCATTGTCCTTTTAGAATATCCTTCCAAAGTACCTTGGGCTTATGTACATTTTTGGGACACATATGCCTTTCCCCAGCACTAAGTCCTAATGAATCCAAATTTCAAAAGTTTAGAGTAAAAAGGGTTATTTTAAGTTTATCTTTGGGGGATATATACCCCTTCCCAATTCCCTCTTTTTGCTTTAATAAATACATTTTAATAGTTTGATGAGCTCTTTCAACTATGCCTTGTCTCTGTGGATTGTATGGGATTCCTGTTATATGAGTAATGCCAAATGATGAGCAAAATTGTTTAAAAGAGGTAGACGTATAACCAGACGCATTATCTGTTTTTAAATGTTTTGGAACGCCCACAGTGGCAAAATTTTGTAAGCAATGAGCTATAATATCTTAAGTGTTTTTCTCCAAAATGAAGGGAGCCCATCAAAAATCCAGAAGAAGTATCAACTGTAACATGCAAATATTTTAATTTTTCAAACTCTGGCCAGTGTGTGACATCCATTTGCGAAATATGGTTAGGTATCATTCCTCTAGGATTGACTCCAAGATTAACTTGTAGTAAAAAGGTCACACAATTTTGACATTGTTTTATTATTTGTCTAGCTTGTTCCTTAGTTATTTTAAAAATGTTTTTGTAAAGTATTAGCATTGACATAGAACTTTTTATGAAAATTTGTAGCTTCTTCTAGTGTAAAGAAAAATATGTATGTCATGTGTAGTTTTATCTGCTAAATATTGCCCAAACTAAGGGCTCCAGGCAATCCTGTATGTTGTTTAAATAGAGAGGGGGAGATGGAAAAGGCCGGCCAACTGTATCTTCACTTAAGAATACAGAACTATGAAAAATTCTCAGGTCAAAGGTGCTCCCAATTGAACCATACTTTGTGAAAGCACACAACTTAGATATATTATTCAAAGGAAAGCAAAAGTACTGAATAACTATAGTCCCTTTCAAAAAGTAAATCTTAAATTACTGGATCAATTGCCACTGTTGCATTGTTATTATCAAGTTCAAGCCCAGAATCATCAGATGTTTTGGTCCATTTGTTACTAGGGCCTGTTTCCTGATTTCTATGTGTGGATGCATTACTACAATGTGAACTGTCACCATTATCTTCTGTTCCACTGCCATTTTCAATCTGCTGTTCCTTGCCTCACTGTAATCTGTTCATGGCCTGTATCTTCAGTCCTTCCTCAATGCTGTGACTGAGTGCCTGTTGACTATTGTGCTTATTGATCCTGGCTAATACTCTCTCTTGATGAGCTTCATACTCATCATGACTTGGATAAATTTTGCTGATGAGTGCATCAAAGTTTGTATCTGGCCTTAGTGATCTTTTGGAAACTAGCTTTTTCTGACAAGTAGGACATTCTTTGTTGCCACTTCTAAGGGCTGTGATTATACAATCTGCACAAAAACGATGCAAACACTCCTTTGTAGTCATGGTGTTCTTCAACATATCCAAACAAATTGGGCACATTAATTCACTGTGTAGACTTCTGGGAGAAACCACAATCTCCAAGTCATCTGTTATTGCCTCCTGAGATGTTTGTTGTAATTCATATAAACTGAGTTCCCATGTTTTGCTTAATGGTTGAGTTCCATTTGTCTGCAAAGCCTGAGACCTTGTGGCTCCTATCCCAGCCCGGGGCTCTGCTGGCCGCTGCCAGAGTGAGACTCAGGTATCAGCCACAGAGGCCTCCAGCTCCGCCTCACAATATGGTGAGCCTCGGCTTTCACAATGGAACTCTGGAAATACAACAGGGGCAGCTCAATATTCATGAGAGACTGAGGGGAAGCTGGCTTGGCTGGCACTATGGGGAGGGCGGGAAGAAGCAAGCGAGGGAGGAGGCAGAGGCTCCCTATCCTTTGTTCCAAGGTCCCTGCTCCTGTCATGTCTCTATTCTCTATAGAGCCCCTCACAGCCACTTCGGTCTTTTGTCCAAACTCTCTTGAGTTTACTGTGATTCCTGAGGAACATTTCCCAGCATCTAGACTTCTGCCATGAGCAGGCTGGTCTGTCCTGTAGAGGAAAATATTGTGCACTGGGTCCTGACACTGTGGCATTGACCACTGATGGGCAGCAGGAAGAAAAGGATCCAGGGCTCCTTATCCTGGTGGGAAAAGGTGCCCACCCTGCAGGGTCTCCCAGGTCAGTGGCTGAGCCTTTGGGGGTCTGTTACTCAGACTCTTGGTTGGTCACATTCATAGTCTCCTCCTGGCTCCAGAGATGAGATGGGCATGGTCTAGAGCCCAGCTCTTCAGGAGCTGAGGACACCCTCTTAAAATCAAGAAAAAAAAGGTGTAAATGAGTGGATTCAGACCTCCAGCTGTGCTCAGGATGAAGAATTTCATCTTTCCTTCCCTACAGACAGCTGTACTCACATAACTGCAGTGCACCTATGACCAGGACATGGGCATTAGTGCTCTGTCCCATCCCACCTATATGGAAGTTCACATGTGCCCAGTTGTCCCCTAGTGTCTTTTGTAGCAAATGGCCCATTGGAGACTCCCAGCTGCTGTGGAGCCAGGTCTCTTCAGCCTCCTTCAGCTTGGGGTGGCAGCCTGTGCTTCCTTGGATCTCGGGGTCCTGTCTCTGTTGAAGGTGCTGTGCCAGTGGCCCTATAGAATACCCTCACAGAGGACGCAGTGTCCCTCAGGACTGAATTTTGATCCTTCATCCAGCATTGTGGTCATTCTACTGCCATAAAGAGGAAACTTCCCTGCAGGCCCACCACTGGGTTGGTTCAATAAAAATGGACTTTCTCATGACTGTGGAATCTCAGGCAGACATCAGGGCACCAGCAAGGCTGTCCTGCTCTCCCATGGCTCTCACATGGCTGCCATCATGTGTGTCACGTGTTCTTTTCCCTGGTGTCTCTGAGACCTAATTTCTCTTCCATTAGGACACCAGTCATTTAAGATTAGACCTCAAACTCAAAACTCACACTTGCATGATTACATCTTCCAACACACTGTGAAGTTGTGCAGACCACAGCCCAAACCTGTAGATTTTGAAAGACACAGCTCAGCCCATAGTGGGTGGGCAGGAATGTGCAAAGGGACACTCTGCTCTTCTCATGGCCTCCTGCCAGGTGGGTCATGGCTTCATGTCCTACATCTTAGTGATGCTCTCTGAGCCTGGGCTCAGGGTGTCACCAGAGTTCTCCAATGATTGTTGTCCCCTTTATAATTATAATAATTTGTTCTTTGGAATATCATTATACATTAATGAGTTTATATGCTCCTTAGTGGTCAGAATGTTGTGATCATTAATAATTTTAACCCTTCAAATTCTCCAAATTTGTCTACTTGCTGACACATACAAATTGTCTTTTGTTATGTTTTTCTATGGCCTCTCAATATTTCACTGCATCCTGTGTTTCAAAATGGTCCTAGTTTTTCTTTTTCCTACCCTATATTATAAATAAAACATTTTTCAGAAATTCATGGTTTTATTAGTGAATAGTTGTTTTCAAAATTATAGGTTCTTTTTGAGAGAAAAGGATGATTTCTTCAAGATTGTATGGATTTTTCCATTTATCAATTCACCCCTTAACCATATAATGATACATGCTCAAATCCACGGTTTTACATGATCACATGTAATTACATTCTAAAACACAGATTTTGTTTAATAATTTTTCTGTCAGATAAGTCACTTGTTTTTTCAACAGTGAATCTCTTAGGTCTAATTACTGATTGTTAATTTACTTACTTGATCCATACAACTGTTCAAAACGAAGCTCTAGATGATGTTTTTGTGAAGACCTTCAGGCTTGATCAGGGCAGAATAATCAGGGGTAGAAAACAAGGTAGATTTTGCTGAAAGAAAATGCTCTGCTCTCTGGTGCTACAGGCAGGATGAGGGTTGGAGGGGAGAGGACTGCCACCTCCGAATACAATGGTCTGTGAGGCCAGAGAGAGTGGGCATGATAATCTGCAATCTGGTGTCCCAACAAGGTTCAGTGGCAGTGGATCTGGGTTAGAATTTACTCTCACCATCACCAGCCTGGAGCCTGAATTTGTTGCCACTTATTACTGTCTTCAGTATATCAGTTGACCAGCCACAGTGACATAGGCCATAAGAAAAACCTCCAGGGAGCAGAAGTGTGAGGCTGGGTTGCCCCAGATACTCCTCCTTCTACCTCCACCTGCTGAGGGCACTGCTCAGAGGCAGCCAGGCTCTGAAGGCCACTGGGAGGGTTTGGTAGAAGGGACCAGGAAAGCTCCTCTGCAGCCTCCCTCTCCCTCTTCTTTAGGTGCAACAGCACATACTTGGCAATGTTTCTCCTGGTTTAAATAATTAATTTGATCAATGCACATTTACAGTCTGAGTTCTAGTATCAGTCTGGATTCTGAATAAAACTGAAGCAACCTCAGATTTCCAAGTGGTGCTTGCTTTATACAGGGAGTTAGAGTCTACATTATAGTCATGATCTGCCTTGGCAGGTTAGGCAGGCTGCCGAGATGATATGAAAAACAGGGCATTGTCTGGTACCCCTGATCCGCACCTTGTCTGACCCTGGAGGCATGGGACTCCTGACCATGGGGTTAGTGAATGGGTAGATCTGGTTCTCTCAGCTGCCTGCATCATATAACCTTGTGATTTTGCAAAGCTCACTTCACCTCTGTCAATGCATCTGCCTACTGGTGGTGGTGGATACTGAATTCTCTTCTTTAGACTCTTAATCCTGAGAAAGGCAAAGCTCAGATCAATTGTCCTAGTTTCCAGGAAATCACAGGGTAAAATGGAAGAAGAAATGTGCTTCTAATGAGAGATGGTGAGCTGGGAACAGAAAACAGTAACCCTGCATAATCACTGTTCCTCCAACTCTCAGAATTTCACTAGCAGAGGATGGACTCATACTATGTGATGATCCTATCTCCAGGGTTGCTAGCAAGTCTGGGATCACATTGGAAAAATTCATCAAGTTCCACAGTAAGTAGATAATGAAGAATTGTATTAAACATGCAGCTTTATGATAATAAATATATAGACAATTTAAATTAATGAGTACTCATGTAATATTCATTTTTATTAAAATATGTGAGCCTTCCTGATGGTAATTGCTGCAGAAGCTAATTTACAGGAAGAGCTTGCAAATTCATGGAGTCTAAAAAAATGTACATTTCTTTTTTCTGTCAGGCCCAGTCTAAAATGGTGAGATCAAGAGATGATAGGATGAACATTCAACAACATAATGAAAAAGTGGCCAGCAGACTGACCTGTTCTGTGTCTCCCAAGGATTAATACATTCTCAGCAGGCAAATGTTTGCTGTCTTATTCTGACATGGGACATACGGGGACACTGGACCTGTGTGCTTGGTTATAGAGAAGAGAGAGCCCTGCAGCTGTGCCTAGCCCTGCTCAGTCTGATTTGCATTTGCCCACAGCAAAGCCCACTGCCATGAGGATATGTTAAGAGGTAGCTCACACAACTTTCTGGAGTCAGTCCCCATCAGGACACAGCATGGACATGAGGGTTCCCGCCCAGATTCTGGGGCTTTTGCTGCTCTGCCACCCAGGTAAGGAGGGACAATATTGGGGATGTGCTCATCCCAGTGGTCAGTGTTTCATGGTGTTCACTGAAGTCCTCTAATAACATTCCTACTTATGTGGGTATTTATGTGTATGTATCTAATCTCAGGTTTCATATGTGACATCATGATAATGTAATCTCCATCCTCCCCACCTACATCTCAAGGAGACATAGTCACAATCTGTTCTAGGGCAAGTCAAAATGTTAATAATTGGTTATTCTGCTGTCAACAGAAGCCAAGGTAAGCTCCACTATGCTCCTCATTTATCATGTCACCAATATGGGATCTGGGGCCCCATAGAGGCTCAGTAGCAGTGGATCTGACACAGATTTTACTCTCACCATCAGCAGCCTGGACCCTGAAGACGTTGCCACTTATTACTGTCTACAGACTAACAGTTCCCCTGCCAAGGTGACACAGGCCATGATACAACCTCCAAGGGAGCAGAAGTGTGAGCCTGGACTGCCCCAGCTGCTCCTCCTGCTGCCTCCACCTTTTGAGGACACTGCTCAGAGGCAGCCAGGCTCTGAGATCACAGGGAGGTTTTGGAGGAAGGGAGAGTCAGGGTCCTCTGTGTCCCCTCTTGAGATGACAACTGCACTTCTGATTGAACAGATCATCACATCTGAGGAGGATGGGGTTCACAGAGTATGGGGAAGCCACATTAGGTATTCTGGGTTGGAACTTCATACTATAGGAAAAGAGAGAAAATTTAAGTGTTTCATTGTCTGAATGTATGGTGGTCAATGATGTAGTGAATTAATGCAGATCCTAGAAGGTACTGATTCACTGGTTCACCATTGAAGTCTGAGTTGTCTCCTCCTCACATCCCAGGCCACATGTATTTCAGTAGTGAATGGAGAGCCTAAATTAAACTTTTTGAAATTCTGGGGATATGATCATTTGTGAAGCTGGTGCTAGAAATGGGAGAGTTTCTGTTGTTACTCCAAAGGTGAGGTCCAGTCAGAACTGAGAGCAAGAGGACCAGAGCTTCTGTGTGACCATCACCTCTGTTCTTCAAATTTTTCCCAATACTGCTGAGGATGCAAGAGATATGGACAGTAGTCACTACCTTTTAAACCAAAATGCTGAAGACTGCAGTTTCTCTGAAGTGAAAGA